GAATTTTGGAGTCTTTGTTTTTATCCTTGTGGTATCGAAAATGGTATCGAGTATCGAATATTTTCCTTAGTATCGGTATCTAGTTGAAAAGTTTAGTATCGTGACAACCCTAATTATGCGTTGTTGATTTTCAAGTATTAATTTAGTTAACCGCTCCTGATAGAGATCAGTCTTAATGCTGTATATTTCACCCAAATCTTTTAGATTTATGTAAAATTTTAACATAACCAATTTCCATTTACTTTTTAAAATAATTTGAAACCTTTTTAAATAAACCTACATAACCCATATTCATCTTTATAATAACACTTATTTATTTGAAATACATAATCATCATATTCATAAATTAATAGAGTGTACTTATTCTAATTAATGAATATGTACCTTGTAAGGTTTATTTAATATATATATATTTTTTTAACAATCTAATAAAAAAAATATTAAATGAAAATTTGTTATGTGATAGATTGAAGTAAATCTTAAATTTTGGCGGAAATAGTTTTGTGAGTGTCGGTGGAGATTTATCTCCTAACTCTGCTTCAAAGTTTTCCATCATGCTTTTTGTCACTGAAGTTTTCTAACATTTGAGGTTGTTTATGTCGTGGTTTTTGGTGTTGGGAAGGGAAGAAATACGGCTATTTTAAAAAGGAGGATTTAATGTACAGAAAATATTGTGGGAGAAAGAAAGAGTGAGGACGGCTGAGAATCTGACATGAAATACCTAAAGCTAGGAGTATTTATCCAGGGACTTTGATTACTGGTTACTCCACCACTAAGGGAACAAGCAGATGGGAAACATCTGTTAAAGACCAGGAAACTAAAGCGCTGAGGTAAAAGAAACCTAAAACACTAGAATATAATGAAACTGAAGACTCTACAATGGAATCACAGCGGACCTGACAAATCCCTTAAGGTTTTATACTTTGCACATTTAAATTTGTTTCAAAACCCATGTTTAGCTTTCCTTGAGTTGCTCTATTACACCAAACTGCTACAGGATAGGGGACTGTGATTGGGATTGTATTGAATCAAAATGTAAAAATAAAAGTGCACGTGTTTGGAACGCATTAGCAAAGGCTTTAAAAAACAGAAAGCCTTTGAAGAGATCTCTTGCTGCAATGTTAGGTTGCATTAAGCAGGGTTCTCGGTCCGAGTGTCTGACCGTCTGAGCTGCCTTTGCATCAATCCACAGGTTGTGTTTCCCAGCACAACGGCAGCTGTTACTAATCAACCCAACAGCAATTATTGCACATGTCCCCTGCACAGTAACCTTCCTGTTGTGGTTAGTGACACTGGATGTAAGAATTATTCATCATCTGAATTTAAGAGCAAGAGACAGTTTCTCCCTCTGACCCTGCCCTAAGCTCCATTATTGTAAATTTGCATTTAGCACTGAGACGATAGCAGAAGCAGGAACCATTGTCAGCAGATTTGAACAGAGCAGCGTAGAATCAGAACCAATGGGAAGCTGATCCCACCACCTTACAGTGATCAAGTTTGGTCAAGAATAGGGATGCACGATATAATCGCCCACCTATCGGTATCGGCCTTAAAACTGAATATCGGACATCAGCCACCGCACCGATATTTAACCCGATATTTGATCAGCTTCTCAGTTTCTAAAGTCTAAAAAAATAGAAAAAAAAAAACTTCTTCTCCCTCAAAAACTTCTTTTTTACAGATTTAAAAACTTCTAAAGACGAGGGAAAAAATATTGATACATTAAAATATCACAATATCCTCATACGCTGATATATTGCCATTTAAAAACACCATATCAATCTCTTTTACTAATGAAATATTGCTATATGTCATCGTTATGCTACGAAATTGCCATATTTTTATATGTTGATATATTGACGCGGTATCGATCTATTTTACTAACAAAATCTCTCAAGAATTAGCAAAATATCATGAGAGTTTGTAACAGAACGATGAAATTTCACGAGA